TTCCAGGATCATTACTCCAGGCTTCAGTGTCACATGATCCTTCAGAAATCATTCTAATGCTGATTTGCTGCTCAAAAAACCTTTCTTATTATTATCTATGTTGGAAAACAGTTGTGCTGCTTAACATTAACTATTCATTCAGGATTCTTTGATGATTAAATAGATATCCTTTGTAACTTTATAAATGTTTTTACTGTCACTTCTGATCAAGTAAATGCATCCTTGCTGAATAAAAGTAGGGCTGTCACAATTATTCCTCGATTAAATTAAGGTAGGCTACTTGATAAGACAAAAATTTATTGCAATTTACCTGTGTTGATTAACCGGGAAAGTACCGGAGGTGGCACATTCCAAGGATGAGAATCCATGAAAAGCATGATTAGACGGGTTTTATAAGCCTGCACAATATATTTAAATAGGGTTGGGTACCGAAAGCCGGTGCCAATAGGGAACCGGTTCCGACGTAAACGGTAGTAACCAGACCGAATAAGAAGGACAATTTCGGTGCCTGACTTAATTAGGCACACACGCGCACACACGCACAGTCTTCTGTCTCGCATGCGCGCTCTTGCTCGCAAGGTTTGGCTGCATTTCACGTGTAAAATTACGCGTCAGAACGCCCTCTGGGTGTGCCGATAGTCTGAATGAGTAAGAGTGAAGCACCATGATTTTATTTACATGCATGTAGGTTATGTGTTTCTCAGAGCCGCTTCGTTCACAGTAAATGCCGCTCAACACAAAACCAGTCTCTGCATGTGCTGTTTGTTTGGGTTTCCAATAACGTGCGTTTGGGAACACATACTTACTGGTGTGCTTTGAGTTTCATATTGAAGTGTTGCACCGTTATCATTTACATGCGTGGAGCGCGTCTCAGCAGCTTGGCTAACAGACTCCAGCATATGCTGTGAGTTTGGGTTGCTTATAACATTCATCTGGCAATGCAACGTGCACCATTTCACCAGATTTGTAACATAAACCTATGCCAACGCAGGAGAACATGTTGTACGTCTATTTATATTACCACAAAAAAAAAAATCCAATTGTCAAAATAATCGACCGATTACTTGATTATCTTCTTAGTGACAACCCTAAATAAAAGTATTAATATCTTTTTTAAAAATATTACTGACCTCAACCTTCGGGACAGTATTTATTTTAATGGAGTGAAACGTGTTAGTTACTGTATTGTGCTTGGCTGTCAAGAGTCTTTTCTAGTATTCAGGGTGTTATTTTGTTTTAGGTTTGTCCCTCTGACATTATTTGCATGCAACTGTCGCTGCTGTATAGATATTGGACTGTGGATTTAAATTACCTGTGTGTAGAAGTGCATCTCCCGTGGGCCTCTCGGAGGAGGTTGTAGCTGCTTCAGAATTGTTCCATCAGGATGCTGCAGAACACCTGTGCAATTATAGTGAACCAAACACTGAAAACCTGTCGGCACTTTATCATCATGACAACTTGTGACTATTTTGAGTGCGAATGCTTTTATGGCAGCCGGGAAAACATCTGAAGGCAAAAATTAGGAAAGAATAAAGCCACATAAATGACACTATAAGAATTAGCTATATTAAGTGCCAACAAACTCAGGATTTAATAAACAGGCTACCTAAAGGGGTGACAAGAAGTTGCAGCTGATAAGTGAACATTTTTGTTTTTGCTTTGAAGCATGTAACTAGGGTTGGGTTTCAAAAATCGATTCCAATTCTGAAATCAGATACTTAAGGTTAGGCATCGGATACTTGTAATGAAATTGAAATTTCGATTCTGCTTATCGATTCCTGTGTGCGCATTTTAAAGTGATTTCAAACCATTTTCAAGCAAGAAGACACGGAAGAGAAGTCAATTCGGCACTTGCTCCGCGTGCACATCCAAAGCAAGCGCATAAAGCTGCCTTTCATAGTGCGTGATACCGAATTGAGTTCTCGTACACGTCTTCTTGCACTTGAACGCACAAATACAACTACATTATGTCAAAGTATCCAAAATAAACACAGTCGGTTTTGTCCTAAGTGAACGTAAACAGTTGAGAAAGAAAACGCATGTGTAACAGTTAGGGACTACCAAAAAGTTTCAGCGGAAACAGCTATTTCCGGTTTCGGGCCGAAATGGTTTTGGAGTGACCGAAATAATTATATTATCTCACCAATTCATTCATTTTATTAAAATACAATAAAAAAACGTAATATTATGAAATATTATTACAATTTAAAATAACTGTTTTCTATTTTAATATATTTGAAAATTGTATTTATTCCAGTCATGGCAGGACCAATTTTTCAGCATCATTACTCCAGTCTTCAGTGTCACATGATCAGAAATAATTATATGTTGATTTGGTGCTCAAGATTCAAGAAACAGGTCTTATTATTATCCATGTTGAAAACAGTTGTGCTGATTAAAATGTTGGTGGAAACCTAATAAAATAAAATAAAATCAGGATTCTTTGATAAATAGAACTTTCAAAAGAACCGCATTTATTTAGAATACAATTATTTTGTAATAAAAAATAGGCCTATATATATTTTTTTTTTAATATATATTTTCTCCTTAAACAATATTGGAAAATGATGGTAGGTGATACAGAATTGTCATTTTGGAGTGATCTATTCCTTTAACACAAGAAAAGACAAAGTGCTGACCACTGGCAATCTGACAATCCATCAGATAACAGCTCACATCTCATTCAATCAGAAAATCCCCATGACAGAGCCACAAATGACACATAAGAGTTACTACAACAGAGGAAATGATGTCATCTGACTGTTAGCAGAGAGAAGGTTATTGTTTCTTTTCATAGAAATCACCATGACGATATCCCATGTTAAACAAATGTGACAACAAATCCTGTGACCCTTTAATAAACTATAATTAGTTATCTAATACTTTTAACACATATTACTCAACCAACTCTGTTAGGAAAACCTGTGCAAAGTCCTCCACAGGTCACAAGTAAATTTACTCTCAGAAAGAAAATGTTCTTTAAAGAAACGTGTACATGATTCCTATAGGAATTTATATAATAATTTATAGCAACAGTCCTACAAGATCCTAAAATGTCCTATATACCATTAGGAAAGTAATTCAAAGAAAATATTTTAGGATTGGAAAATTCCTATAGATCAATCTCCGGTTTCCTTTATTATTCCAACATTATTCCACAAAAGACTCATGTAGGAATTACAATTGATCCAGTAGGATGCCATTTGATTATTATAGGATTGGTGTATAAAATTATAAAATTGGTTTGATACTTATAGCCTAGGTCTTGTAAAAACTTTTTGATAATGGGTGTTCATAATCCAATCCAAACAGTAATTTAGCCTATATGATGATATCCAATAGTCCAAATATCAAACAACTTAAGACTCTGATATTCACATTCCTTCATCAATCCCTACAACCTAAAAAACATTAATACAGCATTTCTAAGAAACATGATGACTAAGAACTTTACAGAAGTTAATAATAAACTGACCAGTGTTATTGATCCCCCATTTATGCCCGGCCACCTGATGAGAAAAGGGCACGCATCCATCCAAGAGCACCTGCTTTACTGACTCTTTCTTTTTATTGTCTTTTTCCAGTTTTTCCAGCGTTCGAGCTGATGAGTCCATGATTTGACCATCTGCAGACACGTTCAGCGTGAACTTATCCAAGTTGAACGGAAACTGGAAAAACTTCTGTAAATGATTTTCCATATCTGACAGTTTTTCTATTAATTAAAAATCAAAACGTCTCTTTCATCTGATCAGATAGGCGTCTGGAGCCCCGAATGTTTTCGTTCATTCACTCGTCTTTAGTTTTTATCTACACTACCGGAGCGCGACGCGTCGTTCGGGTTGTTGAATGAGTCGTGACGTGAGCACGCAGTCCACCAATCAAAGTTGGCGTACTCACAGGTTGCGTTCTGGTTCCCGAATGGGACGTGACGTCAGCACGCAGTCCACCAATCAAAGTCGGTGTTCTCACAGGTTGCGTTCTAGCTTCCCGTCCGCGCTATTTTTAATTGTAGAAGTTTCTAATTTTGACTCCGCTAATGGCTTTAACTAAATTTCACACTTCAAACTCTTTATTTAAACATCAAAACCGCAATCTAAAGAGGGGATTTAAAAGAATGCAATGATTTCCAATTGCTTTAAGTCGTTGATCAGCAAGAATTGCATTTTATTCAAGCGATAAACTGAAAAAAAAAATCAGTCTCAGAAAGTCAGTTTGACATTGTTTATTAAACATCAAACTTGTGCAGTGTACTTTTCTGAGAGAGAGAGAGAGAGAGAGGGGGGGTGTGTGAGAGAGAGAGAGAGAGAGAGAGAGAGAGAGAGAGAGAGAGAGAGAGAGAGAGAGAGAGAGAGAGAGAGAGAGAGAGAGAGAGAGAGAGAAATACAACAGAAAATGTTCATCAAAACATGATTTTGCTTCATGTAACATTTTCTCTTCTGCTATAGAAATATATCTAGCCTTTCCACAAGCAGAGGCAAATATAGCCAAGTACCGAATTAGATTTTAAATGACATAAAATAGTACCTATCCGATTCAGTGACATCTGATTCAAAAATAGAGAGATTAGAGGAGAGTGTCACTTTAAATACATAAAATGTCAGTGATCAGTTAAGGTCACATCATGTGAAGTTTAACAGGCAACACACACACACACACAAAGCAAATGAGAAGGTGGGTATTTGGTTTCCATACACATTTCACATTCATATGTAAAACAAACAAAGATTCAGTTCAAACTCAGACTAATGTGTTTTTATTCAAGTTTTAATCTGTAGTGCATCTACAGTAATGTAACCAGTGTTCAAGCACATAAACATGTTTAGGAGATTTTGGCTAAGCCAGAAATCTGTACATCAGTCATCCCATAAAGTCTAAGCAGATAAAAAGAGAAAATAGATATGAAAATAGTATGTATTGCTCTATGGTATTGCTTAACAACAACCCCAGAAAGCTGGAATCTGTCAAGCATACACTATATGATTAAACACACAAACACGGGATAATATAATCACACTTTTAATCCCAGCAGCCCCGACCACACATGTAAAGCGAAGACACATAATCTCTATCGCGGAGAAGGGACTTTCATGAACAGTGGAATTGCTCAGGCCTCCTTGCGTTTTATGATCAGAGGACCAACGTTGTCTCCCGTTTCCTGATTGTGTTTCGCATGTGCGCCATCACAGTATGGAAACTGTAAGAAAGAGACCAGAGAAAACATTTCATTACAGATGTGTTACAACAAGTTTGATGTCACTGAATCTCACGGCTCGTGTGACCAAAATGTGACCATCACCACAAGGCTCGTTGCGTTAGTCTGTTACCGGTGTTACGCGGTGTTCGGCCGTACACCGATTACATTAGTTGGCCACTGCAGCACCGTCCCCACTGTCGTTTTGCCTTTCTTATAGAAATAAAAACCATTTCGTTTAGTTGGACAACGGACGGTACAATTATAAACTAAAAGTGAGATAACCGATAAGACGATGGCGGAGGATTTGGAGTGCAACTGTACCTGAGCATCATTGACAAATCTGTTATCTTGGAAAATGTTCAATCAGTCCCTTTCAGGCAAGTCATATCACTCAGCAGCCATTTTTGAAACGCCAGTTATTTCAGTCATACAAGTGCAGCTCCTGTCTCTTTAAATGGGAAAACATCAAATTCTCCAAAGCTGATCACCAAGCTTAATTCAATTTCATCTGACAACTGTCTCATAAATGTTGTTTCTTATGCTCATATAACATTAAAAAAGCTTATTTTTCAGGCTAGACTGGCCAATGCGCATGTGCAGTCATAAGCGCGCGTCTCAAAACACTGATGCTGCATCCGAAATCGAATACTTCCCTACTATATAGCATGCGAAAAACGGTACGCCAAAAGAGTAGTATGTGTGAATACATAGTATTGGATAAACAGTAGGCAAAAAGTCCCAGGATGACCTACTACTTCTGGCGAAATTCTGAAGTCACTTTACTGATTCTGGACACTTTACTATCCCACAGGAGAGGATTTGTGAATGGAGGAAAAGCAACTAGGGGTGTAACAATATATCGCGTCACAATATATCGCAATACAAAAATGCAACAATATGTATCGTGGATAGTGACAGTATTTATTGTGTATAGTTCACCCAAAATAAAAATTACTCTGTAATTTTTAAAATAATTTTAAAAAAAGTCAAGTTTTCAGTTTTAGTGTCAGTACTACATTAAACTATAATGTTGAATATAATGTATATGGGAATATTTGTGGGTCCTGATAATGCCAAATGTCTTGTTACCAGTAAAAGTGGCCTACATTATTTTAAATATATCTAGTCAGACAGTGACAGAGTGCAAGCATATTCGTCTAAAATAATTCTGTATTCATCTTCAGAATTATGAATATTTTGAATCTGGTGCAACCATTGTCCTGTGCATTGGGTTACCGGCACCAAGTCCAAGCCTATTCATTTACACCCACAATGTAATATCAAATTTAGCATTTTAATCAACAGTACATTTTTATATAGAACATATTTTCTAACAATTTTTACTTTAAAACATGACTTTTTTTCCCTTTAGATGAAATGGATGTTTTCCCCTCCTGCTGCCTTTGATGTTCCTGTGGCTCCAGAATAATGAGCTCGTGGAATTTAAGAATTTAAGATTCAGGTGACTGACAAAAAAAAAAGGATTCAGGAACCTAGTACTCATAAATAAAGACAATGACAGATTGCAAGTGACCTGTTGCAGGTGCAGGTTAATGGCAGTTGGACCCGCCCCGCCCCCCCGTATGATCAAAATGGGAATGCTAACAGACAGGTTCAAGATAAACACCTCCTTGAATCAATCACGCCCAGATGTACATGTATTATACGTATGTACATAATAAACATTTCTCCTTATTTCATGAAAGTTGGTTTCAGATGGCATCAGGAAGAGACATTTAATTTCAGTTTCTCCAGGAGGAACTTGCTTTTGAAAATGGGCAGAACCTCCACACTCACATTTCTGATTCTACTGTTTCTCTATTTTAACAGTCAATGGTTCAAAGTTCTTTCTCACCTTTTTGGATCTCCAGCACCGACAGTACACGGCTTTGTCGGCCAGGTCCTCAATATCAAACGCATGCACCACTTTGGGGTTGTCTTTTTGCAGATCAAGGTTCACTTTAGGTTTCACACATTTGGTTTTGTTGAAAAATGTTTGGTAGATGAGGATTCCCACTGCTGCAGCTCCAAACGTCACAGACACTGCAGTGATGATCTCAGCTAGAGGAGGACAGAATTAACAGATCTTACCATACAGACATTCTACTGCGATTATGCTTGCATAAGATTAAAGAATAATAATAATAAAATGTTACAAATATGTCCAAATACTTAAAAATAATATAAATAATGCATTAATATGGCTACTTACATTAATCATATAAAATGTAGGCTATAAAAAAAATCCACAGATTCTACAAGCCTTTTAGTCCAATAACAATATTATTATTGTTATTTAAACTTAACGTTACATAAAATTGCTACTAAATAGTGTACGTTGTTCTGTGACTCCAATAACATCACAATGACAAATCTAATGAATCTGTATTAAATAAATAGTCATTGTAACCAAATCCATGTTAGTCAAATTGAAACAATATATAGAAACCTGATACGAACAGAGATAACGTTAGTTTATTAGATTCTCAACTACACAGCGAGCAAAAGCAAACACAGATACATCCAGAGACGCTCAAAACAACTTCATGAAATGTGTTTGTGAATCACATCTTGAAAATGTCCGTTTATTCCATTAGTTTTTTTACTGCTAAATTCAGAAAATAAACAAACACGCACAGCATGAGCAAAATAGCACATTTCTACAACACTTCTACAAAAACACCTTTGTATAACATCTTCAATAAGATCTTTACCTTTATGGGAGGAGATTGACGCGCTCATGTTTAATTATTACTGTTTGTATTATTTATTATTATTGTTTGCTCATAATTTAAAGATCTTCAAGCGTCCTCAAGGCCAAGTGGAGAGTTCAATAAGCTTAACTGAGCGCTGTATTTACGCAAAATGTGAGTTACTGCGCATAAGTAGGACTTTTACTTTGACATCCCCTTCAGTTCGAGCATGTGCGCGGTGAAAGGTGATCACACGCCAAAACGAACCCTCATTCCAAAAGAAAAGTATCTGTGATTTCAATGTGAAATGATTTCAACAAAATTTCTATTACGTTTTATTTCGTTTTCTATATAAAATAATGGCAGTATTTTCATAGAATGAACATTGATAGTTTTAAAAGCCAAGCTCTGAAAAAGACAGAAAGTTAGTTATACTATTTATAATATAATATTTATGGTTAAACAATTAATTATAAAATACTCTTAATAAGAAAACAAAACACATATAATGTTTGATGATGTTGTGTACTACTGCATTTGAAAGAGAAGGAAGGAGTTTTAAGGAAGAATTGCGTTATGTAGGATATCGAGAATAAGTTATATCCTAAATCATGGTCCAAATGCGGGGGGGGGGGGGAAATAATGCAATCGTGAGATTTATTAGGATCAGGGGATTAAAATAGGAGAAATATATAATAAAATACTCTTATTTTGAAGTTGTGTAGCAGGAAGTTATGCGCTCTACAGCCGAGATCACGTTGACAAACACACACGTGTGTGCGCAGCAATATGGATCTCTCCAAGTGGTGTAATCTAAAGTCCGAACCGAGTTTAAAGAATTTGACAGAGGCAGGGTTCGGAGTCCCGAAAGACAAACAGCACGTTCCCGTGCAGGAGCTCGTGAAGGCGCACATTGAGTCATTTGATCAGGCAGTTACTGATGGATTATGTCGGGTTGTGGAGGTGAGGTGCAGACATATGCTTATGCATGTGTCTGCACATACAGTAGATGCATATTCTCTATAGACATTAACATGCAAGTGCTGGCTATACAGGTAACATATGTTTGTGTTTAGGCCATTCCTCCTTTGGAGTTCTTGTACAAGGGAAACAGAGTCAGCCTGTCTTTTGTGGAGGCCATCATTCACACGCCAGCGGTTCCTAAAGGAGGAATCAGTCGAGATCTGCGGATGTTCCCTGCCGAGTGCAGAGGCAGGCGCTGTACATACAGGGGGAAGCTAGTGGTAAGCCTGAGGGTTGAATATGAGTAAATATGGTGAATTGATTATAACACGATATATTGTTACACACACACACACACACACATACACATACATATATATATATATATATATATATATATATATATATATATATATATATATATATATATATATGTGTGTGTGTGTGTGTGCAACAATATATTGTGTCACAATATATCGCAATATAACAATATGTATTGTGGTATAGTATATAAAAAGTTTTAGTGTCAGTACTACATTAAACTACTATATATAATGTTGTATATAATGTATAATGCAATAGCCAGGGGAATATTTGTGGGTCCTGATAATGCCGAATGTCTTGTTACCAGTAAAAAGTGGCCTACATTATTTTAAATATATCTAGTCAGTGACAGAGTGCAAGCATATTCGTCTAAAATAATTATGTATTTTCAGCTTCAGAATAATTCCGAATGAACTTTTGACAGGAAAATACAACAGAGAATATAATTTACACGTAGTGCGTCACTTCTACGTGGTAATCATTAGGGGTGGAACGGTACACAGAAGTCACGGTTCGATTCATACCTCGGTTCAGACATCACGGTTCGGTACGATTTCGGTACAATGGAGGGAAAAGCAAAACAAAAATGCAGAAGGCATTGTATTTTTTAAATAAGTTTTATTAATAAAGGCATAGAACCAGTTTATTTGTAGTGCACTGACAATTGTTTTATATAATTAGTTTATTAATTAAATTAATAAAAAGACAAAAAGACATTGCGATATGTTTGGTAATTGTACCTGAATTAATTTAAAATTATTTTGCTATATTTCAGATCAATATATTTGTTTTCCTTAATTTTAATTAACATTATTAATTGACAATGTAACATTATTCTCATCTGAATTATAAATAATTGATTTCTGTATAAAATAATACTACCATTACACATTCGATTTTCTTTTTTTAATCAATGTGTAAGATTAGTGCTCCGAGGACAAGAAATGAAAACCAATGTAATATGACGAATGTCCAAAAGATGGGACCCACAGACTGTTTTGAAATGGAGTTGTATAAATATGTTTTGCTTTTAAAACTGTGTGTGTGTGTGTGTGTGTGTGATTTTGGTTGGGTGACAGTTGTAGGTTACAGTTTGACAAGAGTTTACAGTGTGACAAAAGCACAATGTTGTGTTTTGTTGCGAGTGTACACAAATATAAGTAAACACTTTGCAGGTTTAATGATCTGTATGAACAAAATGACGGAGTATGTTTTTTTATGTTTCCACTGTTCGATCGCGCGCCTCTCTCTCTCTCTCTCTCACACACACACACACACACACACACACACACACACACACTCCAGTATTGCAATCTTGACATCGCAGCCTGTCCATTATGCGGTCACGGTCACACCAAACGCGAATAGAGCGTCAAATTCGCGTCTAGTTCGACGCTAGTCCAAAGCGAATAGGACGCGCGTATAAAGCCAACGTTTGAAGTGAACGCGCGTTCAGAGCTAAGCCGATGGTACATATTATGTGTCCCTAAAGAACCCGCGTATCTAACAGTAGTTCCGCATTACAGTTTTATTTATTTTTATACCGTGTATTCTCCGTGTAAATTCGTGCACCGAACCGTGACGCCCGTACCGTTTCGGTTCGATACGAATACATGTACCGTTCCACCCCTAGTAATCATAGTAACTAAATCCATGTCATGATGGGGTTTGGCATCACGACGGTTTTGCTTCTAGGTGGACAGTTAAATCCTGGAAATCCTATAGAATTCAACCAATCAGATGTTCAGCCAACGGTTATTTCTAAGGCTGAGACTAGTTAGGTCACTGCTTGATATCCAGTCTGGGTCCTGGAGCCAAGCCAGTTGACGACCACTGATCTCAGTGTTTTGTGTTTTCACAGGCTGACGTGAGCTGGTCTGTTGATGGCGTTCCCAAAGGAATCATCAAACAGTCTTTGGGACAGGTGCCGATCATGGTCAAATCGAAACTCTGCAACCTTCACGGTCTCTCACCCAAAGAACTCATAAAGCATCACGAAGAAGCTGAGGTATAAATCACACGTCACAGAACTGCATGTAACGCCACCATCATACTGTTGTCTTTTGGGTAAAATAACACTTAGTCTTGTTTTACCGGTAGGAAATGGGTGGTTATTTTGTGGTGAATGGCATAGAGAAGGTGATTCGTCTTTTGATCATGCCGAGGAGGAACTATCCCATCGCTATATCAAGACCAAAGTTTAAGAGCAGAGGACAGGGCTACACTCAGTACGGTGAGTGCTGCATCTTTTCCAGAATGAATAATTGAAATAGGATGTATGAAATACGCAGATTGACTTCGGTATTAACTGTGTGCAGGTATTTCAATGCACTGTGTAAAGGACGAACACACAGCCATTAATATGAATCTACACTACCTGGAAAATGGAACAGTGATGGTGAATTTCATTTACCAGAAAGAGCTGTTCTTTCTTCCCTTGGGCTTTGCGCTGAAGGTAAAAGAAAATAGTTTTTTATTTTTTATAAACTCTCCAAATCATCCTAAAGGTGTTTATTTTGTGATAATAACCAGTTGACATTACCCTACTTATTACCATGTTTATTATTATATGACCTGATTTCACAGACAGGGCTTGGATTAAGCCAGGAATAAGGCCTTAGGTAAATTAGGGCATTTAAGTAGCTTTTATAAATGTGCCTTTAAAAAAAAACATTACTGGTGTGTCTCTTGAGACAAAACAACGGCCCTGATATATTTTAAGATGCGTCAATGAAGGCTTGAATTTTGGTGCAGGATTGTGGGTATTGAGCATAATTTTACTCATTCCCACAGGTTTCGCACTTATAAGGCGGGAAATTCGCACAATAATTTATCAATTAGCTTGTTGGTTGAATACGCAAATTAATCCACACAGTTTGTTAGATTCATTTAGTCATTTTTTGCGTTCTGTTCTTGTTTACTTGTCTTTTTTGTAAATTATATTCAAGGTTGAAATCAAGCTTCCTTGTGCTGTGTGTAAACCATAGACTGTAAAAAAATAGGTGTAAACCCATACACATCAAAATGACCTCATTGTAAACACACAAATACATAGTGAGCATACATTTAGGTGAGATAAATGTAACTACCCCCTCAAATGACACCCACCCTCCCCATTTCCAAATTGAAAATCAGGACCTGCATTAAAGGGATAGTTCACCCAAAAATGAAAATTAAGTCATTAATTACTCACCCTCATGTTGTTTCATCCCCGTAAGACCTTCGTTCATCTTCGGAACACAAATGAAGATATTTTTGATTAAATTTGAGAGCTGGATCACTCCTCCATAGGCTTCTTAAGGGATAGAAACTTGACGGCCCAGAAAGTCATTGAAGAAAATGTTAAAATAGTCCAAGTGACTACAGTGGCTCAACTAAAAGTTTATCAAGCGACGAGAATACTTTTTGTGCCGAAAAACAAACAAAAATAACGACTTTATTCGACTCTCCTTTTCTTCCTTGTGGGCCTGAGACGAGAGTTCAAGAGATTTCCACGACGCATGCGCGAGAACTGAGAAGAGGACGTTCTTCTTCTACTACTTCTTGTTCAGTTCTCGCGCATGCGTCGTGGAAATCCCCCCCCCCCCCCTTTCCCCCTCAAACAAAAAAAATTCCCCCCCCCCCCATGAGAATAATCTAAGGGGGATTTCCCCCCCATTTTCCAAAATGAAATTCAGGCCCGATTATACAAACATATTTGACCAGCTCGACTGACCAATCAGATTTTCCAGAGAGTGGTGTAATATTTAGGTACTGGTGCAGGTGCATAATCACTTTTGAATTTAATGTTTCAAATGCCTTTCCTTTCACCTCAAAAGGCTCTAGTGGAGTTCTCAGATTACCAGATCTACCAGGAGCTGATTAAAGGTCGAGAGGAGAACTCTTTCTTT